CAGGTGGACTATATTCACTCAAAATCAAGTAAAAAAAAAAAAAACTTTCAACACACTTTATAACCTATTTTGGTATCTGCCTTGACTTACTTAAAAAATAAATGTCAAAAAATTTTCCTTTACAGATTTGTTGTAAGTGTTTTTCCAGATTTGCAACAATCCAATTTTGTACAGTTTGTTTACGTTCTGATTCAACTGCCTGTCATTTGAACTGTCTTTGGTGAATGTAAAAATAAAAAAGTTTCCATGAGCTTTTAGCCAATATTCTTAGCTTTCTATTGATACCAAACATATCCAGGTTCAACCTACAACAGAAGTTAAAATAAATAATTTAAAAAAAAAGGGGGAAATGATGTTTTGGGGCTCAAGAGGTTAAAAAAGTTCTGTRATTTATTTTTCAGAACTCCGGTTTTACTTGGTCTATTAACACAATTTAAAAATTGATGTAAAGTCTGAAGTCTGTTTTTTTGACACAAATTGGAACAGATTTTTACAAAGAGCAAATCTTTCGCACTAGAGTGATTTAAATTGGTCATATGACTAGGGTATGAGGGTGTCCAGGGACTCCAGGTGATTAATCGTCATACTAATCATTATCGATTAAATACCAAAATTAATCGTGATTAATCTTTTTGCCATATTGCCCAACCCTAGTAGTGACTAAAAGAACAAAATTACAGATACAAGCAGTCAAAATGAGTTTTCTCCACAGGGTAGCTGGGGTCTCCCTCAGAGACTGGGTGAAAAGTTTAGTTGTATTATTACAAACTCTCACAGCACTTACATGAACTATGAGTAACAGGTAAGTTACAGACAAATGTTGGTTATTTAGCAAATGATGAAGAATACAGGTACGAGGTGAGGTAATCTCATCCTAACAGGTTTTCTACAGAGAGCTGATGAAAGGGGGTTTCTAAGATTGTGAATCATGACGAGACAGAGAAGGCGAGTTGTTCGATGTTTTGACGTACAAAGTTGCATCCTTCACTCCTCATTCAGAAACTCATTCATTCAAGCAGACGTTCATTCATTCAGTCGTTCATTCAGGCACGATTTGTGAGCTAAACTGCTAATCAGCATGTGTCGTAATAATTACACACACACACACACACACACAACCCCACTCCACCGTGTGACTGAATGTGTGGGTGTGTCTGTGCTGCCGCTGCTGGTGAGCACGTCAAACGTCGATACCCATTCAGCTATTTAAAAACCATCGCTCGGCCTACTTTCCATCCATTCAGCAGAAAAACAAACACACACACAAACACACACACACATACACACACAGAGAGAGGTGTGTTTCGAAAACTCCTGCCCTTCCATGAGGATGAAAATGTGCCTCGCTTGAGGATATTGAACCCTTACACTTACACACACACACACGCGCTCGCACACACACACACACACACACATGCACAGTCAGTCAACGAGTCAGCATGAAACTCAAGCTGAAAGACTCTGGAGGAAGTGGACAGCATTATGGTTTTCTGAGGCTCAGCAGACTACTGAAAGGGGATGTAGAGTTAAAATGATGACAAAGAGGGCAGAAACAAGAAAAACACAGGTGTGGGGACGGAGGATAAAAAAGAGGAAGGACTGATGAAAACTAACTTTATATGTGCTTGAAAGGCAGTTTTAAAAGGTACAGTTTGAAGTAGGATATATCGTTTGAGCATCGTCATCACGACATACGTGTGCAAAATAGTCACACTGCAGCTCCTTTGATGTAGGAGGCAAATTAAACCAGCATGTTATTTATTTATTTTATTTATTTAACCTTTATTTATCCAGGTAAAACTGTTTGAGAACCACTTCTCATTTGAAACCAGGCACTAAACCTGGGATTATCTAGGGACTAAACCACTAAACCATATATCATTCAGTGTTGTATAAAGTACCACAAAGTGAAACTTGAGTAAAAGTACAAGTATCTTACCAAAAAAATTATTTTGTAAAAGTTAAAGTCTCCTTTAGGAATATCACTTGAGTAAAAGTCTTACAGTATCTGATATTTTTTGTGCTCAAGTATTAAAAGTAAAAGTATTGATTTAAAATGAGCAGTTAGATTTTCTGTAAAGACATTTATTAGGAGGCGACCTCCCCAAAAAATATAGAAATGACTGTTGTATTAAAATAATTAATTTATGTTAAATTTAAGATGCACTAGTTTTAGTTTATATATACACAATTAAATTCACTCTATCTAGGAGGCACAGTTTATATGGATAGTATTTATTTTTTTACAATAACAAGCTGGAATGAAAACAAGCAAAAATGAATTAAAAGCAACAACTTTCTACATCTTGCCTTTTTTTAAAATAATATAAGGAATAGAAAGTACAGATAATTATGTGAAAATGTAATAAGTAGAAGTAAAAAGTAGGATGAAAAATAATTACTCATGTAAAGTACAGTAAAGAAGTATTTGTACTTACCGGTAGTTACTTTACAACTCTGATGTCATTGCACTGAACAGTCGCAGTATTTGGCTTTTATTTGAACTTCTCTGCCAGCGGGAGCGGGTATCTTTGTGTCAAAAAAAACTAAAACTTTCATTTTGTTGTGAAACTTCCGGAACAATAATGATAACTTTTTTCGGATAAGTGTTAGTGGAGGAAACACTGTCAAATACAGTTAGCATGAATGCTAATAATGAAGTGTGACAGAAACAGAAACGAAGATAATAGAGGCAACATGTACGTTTCTTTTAATGATGAAGCACAGCCTCTCATCTGTACGCAGCCACAATAAGCTCCTCACAGTTGAGGTTAGCACTTGTGGT